ACTATCCTGGAACTCCAGTATAATATGCTGGAGTTCAAGTATACTTATGCTGGAACTCCAGCATAATATACTGGAGTATTTTCTGGGTTTTGAACAGTGTTTTCGCTCAGATTTATCTTTACATAAAAAGTGGCTAAATTTCGATTACTTTTGAAATTGGGCTATTTTTGAACGACCAGTTGTAAATCTGGCTATTTTTAAAAATCACCCTTAGTTTTTGTATATAAAAAAAAGTCCTCACTCTCTTGAACTTGATGAATGGAATTATATTACTTTCTTAAGCATTTTCATCTTTCTTTTTCGAAAGCTCTTCTTAGTGACTATTTTCTTTTATCTTCATCTATACAAGCAACTTTTAACTTCAAAAGCTCCAACAGTACTGAAAATGTAAGAGGATCAAGAAAATAAAACATGTAGATATTAAAATAAAACTTTTATTAAAACAATATAGGTCTTCGACAACTTGCGCGCACCTGGACTAATTCAGCGAGTACTAGCTACTTCTTAGTTTTCACAAGCATATACACTCAATATATAACTCTGTTCATCAAAACTTAGACTGATAGCAGAGAATCATCTAACATTGCCTTTGGTGGAATTTGAACACTCATCAAAAGATTATGTGGTCGCGACATAATTATTTAATGTTAATTGGCAGCCAACATAAGAAAATTATACAACTTAATTAAATAAACTTAACATAAGATAAAAATATAAATATAATTCAAGCTTAATAGTGTAATACATAAGCATCATACTGAACTGTAGCATCCTTAGTTTTCAAATCCACTGACTTAGTCCTTGCCTGAACATATCCTCTAGCAAATCGGAAAAGCCCACTGCCACCAATCACCGGCATCTCTCTCACCGTCTCGAACGCCGAGTTCCGGCCGAGCACGGCTAACGTGCTACCATTATATTTCCCTTCAATAAACACAAAATTCATGACCATTAATATACTTAATTCACTTTGTGAAGCTGAACCATACAACCCTTGTGCTCTTCCAACAATTTTGGAACTCAATTTTGGTCCTAGGGTTAGGGCATTATCCATCATGTTTATTAGGCCGAAGCCTGTAAGGATGGTGGTTGTGGGTGGTGGTACGATCATAATAGAGGTTGGTTCGTAGCCACTTAAGATGTCATGCCATAGAATCTGAAATGACTGAGT